AAACCAACATGGAAACAAAACTAAAACAAAACTGGGCTTGCTTTAGCAAAATTTCTCAAGAAAATTTACCGCAAATAGTTGGAAAAATAGCCACGACCAAAGTAGGCGCAGAAAAATGCGCTGTGGCATTTGTTGGCCAACATATCAGCCAAGTGGCATCGGCAGTTTGCACACACATGCACGCGGGCGAGTCGAGTAAAAGCCAGGCTGGGCAGCTACACTCCGAGAAAAAAGTTGCACCAATTTAAATTTCAAAACATATGCATTAGTGATAATCCGCCAAGTGTTTCAGATTTGCAAATCAATAATTGAACGCATTCCTTTCAATGAATTCTCCCAGTAGTCTCTGAAGGCTTAAGTCGAATTGGATTGATTTCTTTATTACAAATAGTGTGACCGTATTTTGCGTACTTTTAGGAGCAGCTGTGAAGTTAAGCTAAATTTATTAAGCATTTAAATACCTTCTCTCTCCCTTATTGATTTTCTGTTTTATTCATTTTCTTTTTTGATGATAAATGTAATTATAATTCAGTTTAACTATAACCGTATTTGTTATTTATTATTTTTATAAGTAAGCAAAAAAATTATAATTAAAAATAATAAAATCCGCAATTTAAATAAACATGGGAAATCTAATAAATTGATGATTGTCACAATCAACGGCTGAAATTGGATAACCAGGAGAGAAATAGAAATAAATCTCAGTATTTTCAAATTGGTTGTGAAAAGTCGATGCAAATTTTAATTAATAATTCATTCATTTAGTTACCTAAGCCTTTTGTTTTTCCATTTCCTAATCTGCCGTAAAGCAGCAATACATCACAAATGTGCAGTCGCCCCTTTACTGCTACAGTAAGGCACAGATGGCAGCATATTTTAGTGGAAAATTTACAATTTATCAAGCTTGAAGGATTATAGAAATTAAAAGAACTCATAACTTCGTATTGATTCCTTATTTTGTATTTATATAAGACCAACATTAATATGAGAAGTGTAGATAAATGTTGTATACTTGTAAAGAGCTTCACAAATATATCACAATTAATAAGTGTAATTAATCAATTAATTCAATTAATCAGTATAAATATACAAATTTATTTTTTCACATACATCAGCATACTAGTCCTGAGATTAAATTTCATGTAATTTATTAAAAGCGAAATAAAAATGCACCAGAAAGAATCATGTATAAGGATTTACATCATCCCTCAAAAATAACTGGTGATTGACCTAAATATAATGATAGGGCTAACATGTGATTAAATAATTAATTTTGATAGAAAAAATAAACATTTGTTACATCAATCATGCCTAATTTAATTAAATCATGAACTTCGCAAGCAGTATCGCTAAAATCTGGAAAGGTTTATGGATTTTCATTCTTTGCTGCTTATAAATGTAAAAGGCGATTTACTTCATTGTCAATCATGATGATCTTCCGCTGGTATTCATAAACATCAGCATTCCTCTTTAATATGTGTCGTACAATCAAATCACTATCGATAAGAATACGTTTATTGAGCAACTATTTGACTTCAATCATTGTTTAATAATGCCATCATTTTGTTCAGTGTATGAAAAACCAGACAGCGAGTCAAGCCAAGAAGAGGAACGCAGGCAGGCCAGGCCAAAGCGGTCAACGGGCGTTGTTGGCGTTCATCATTAGATGCAGACGTGAACGCAAACGCAGGCACGTCAGGGCCATGAACTTGGCCATCGCTGCTGACCATCAAGAAAGCCAAGCGATTGTCAATTGATAGTGGCATATGCACATATATGTACATAGTCGTCATACAAAGTCGTGGCCAACAAGTGGTCAAGTGGGGAAATAGTCGCATAGTCGCCTAGCCGAATGACCAAATGGCAACCTCATTTGCATTTCCTTTGCCGCTCCCATCCGCCCCCTCTCCACCCTCCCCGCTGCCCCCTCCCCACATGCACAAAAAATTTGTCAAATGTGCAAAACGAGGCAACGCGTACAAAATTCTTGAAAAGTCAAAAAAAAAACCAAACAAAAAGTTATAAGAATTTTACAAAACGTAACCCTCCCACACACACACACATGTGTATATGTGTAGATGGGTGTGTGCCACGCCCCCTCTACGACTCTTGACTGCCTGCCGGGCTGACTGCTTTTTCCCCCTTTTGTTGTCATTTGCCCGACTGTTTTGTGGCTGCATTGCTGCAAATGGTCAAATTATTTCCTTTTCCGTATTTTGCCGTTTGCGGCTTTGCAATTTCTTTGCTACTCGCCATTTTTTCAAAGCATTCACGCGCACGAAAGGATTTCTTGTAATTTGGGCTGACTTGAATAAAGGAGAGCTGGCAGAGGGGCGGTGGCTGTGCGCTGATGAAAGGGATTTTCTGGCTGCTGCTCGACTGCCATTCCGACTGCGATTCCGACTGCGATTCCGACTACGACTCCGACTCCAACTGCGATTGCGACTGCGAGTTCTACTACGGCCACGACTACGACTGCCAACTGCTTTTTGGCGACTTTGCAGATTTTTTCCTCTTTCTTTTATATATATATATATATATATATATATATATATATATATATATATATATATATATATATATATATATATATATATATATATATATATATATATATATATATATATTTATAAATTTTTTTGTAATGCTTTTTTGCTTTTTGCATTTTGGCGGCGGGTTAGCTGCCACAGCCGCTGCCTTCAGCGCCTTTTGTTTTAAAAACAGCGTCGTGGCTGTGGCGTGTACTTTTTTGTACCCTTCAACTGAAGGTGTTAAAGGGTTTTATAAAATTATTGTGTTTAATGTAACGGTCAATAGATTTTCATTGATTCTAGATCAACAACTAAAAATTGTGTGATTTAAGTGCCTATTATCCTAACCATCCGACTGTCTCTGCATTTTCAGAGCTCTTAAGTCTCGCAAATTATAAAAATGGTGTGCAACTTTTTCTCATTAATAAGCAGGTTAGGCATACATTTTTTGGAAATATTAAAAGTAGTATGCCTGGAAAGAGGAAACGTTACTGAACTTTGTATGAATGATCGACTTATTGACAGAATTTCCATATTCTCAGAGTCATTTTCTCTTAAAAACTGCATCTTCATTTCAGCATTCTTCAATTTTTGGCATAAAAGGGTATTTAGGAGTCGAAAACACTCAGCTATTGCATTGGTTTTGGTTTTTGTTCTATACTAAGCATGCATATGCACGGCAGATTGAATCCATTCGCATTCTCGGGGCGCTCCGAACCGCTCTGCTCGTTCAATGGCCGCTGCATGCATTATGCACACTCATTACCCACACCGCCACCATTATCCTTGTGCGCTCGTTCACTTTCATTTCCCATACATATGTGTGAGCAAGTGTGTATGTGTGTGTGTATGTGTGTGTGTGTGTGTATGAGTGTTGTTTTGTATATTTATATATTTCATTTTTTGTTATCGCAATTTCGCTGTACCCTTGCCACTTGAGACATTGCTTTGTTCTCTTATGAAAAAAGGGGTTTTGGATATGGCAAAAGCTTTTAGGCGCAGTTTTATATTCCTTTCCTTTTCGTTTTTTTTTTTTTTTTCCTTCTTTTAGTGCTCATGTTGAGAGAACAAAGTGCTGCATTCTGAGCTGCACAATATTGCAACAACCCCTCCACACATGAGTTCCATGCAGATTTGAAAACTATGTCGTCCATGCATGATTTAACTGCACCAATAATTTCGAGAAAGGCACTTGTGAATTTTAATTGGTCCTGACGCTCGACAGCTTCATATCACCAAATCGCATTCTTTCGGCAAAATATAAAAAAAACACTACACTGGATTCTTTAGAAAAAAAGCTAGCTGGTACTTTAGAATATAATTACAATCAATCAGCAAAGAATGACTCCAAATTGAAGATTATGTAAGTGTGTCCTTTTTTTCACCAATTAGTTGAAAGCGCAAGTTTTTTTAGAAAAGTGGCATTTGAAAAAAGGGCTTGACATCTTAACAGATGGCGAACAGTCCAAGTTCCTAATCGGTAGTTACAATTATAAAGTATTTTTTCAAAAGAACCGTCTGAATAGCTGCAGCCCAAGTCTGATTAGGACAGTATATAATGGACCAGGTTATTGGGTACTAGGTATGAGTAGTGCCTTTAAATAAGACCATTTCACCAAGTTATAATACAAACGAGCACATAGAAGGACACATCGTGATCTCTCCCTCAATCAAAATAGATTAACCCATCGATGTTATATTTATTTCTAATTTAAGTGACAGAAATTACTCATCACCTCAAAATGGGGCAAAATGGAGCTTATTTACATTTTTAAGGTTTACAAAGCAAATATATGCTGTATCTGTGCGATATGCCTATATAAAAGATCCCGACGTTACAAATCAGATCTAAGATCAACTTGGGCAGCTTGAAAAGCAGAGCTGCATTACAAAGGAACTCTACAATTTTTGTTAATATTAGAATAAAGGGTCCATATGATGACCTCTTAATGCAAGGACGAAAAGTGTTTCATCTTGTGGATAAGACATGGGTAGTTCAAATGAATAATTCGGAAGTAACAGTCATTAGTTTAAGTCTGATAAAAGACTTCATGAACGCATCCGGTTGAAAACGCTTTTGACCTAAGTCTAACCAAGAGAAATTAAAAAAATATTTCAGTGTCAGGTCATATATAGCAAGTGAGATGGTTTTTGAAACCGAATTATTCAATGTATTTCAATAGTAAGCGCAATTTTCTAAAGGTACGGGTACATCAAAGATACTTGTATAATAACGTGTACAATTGCTAAGCTTTGAAAAGCATTAACCCAGATTCTCCGCATGTACAGATGTACTCGTGAACAAATTTCCCGATTCCTATATTACGAACTTTGGTTCAGCAACAAACACCAATGTTGCATAACATTTGTTTAAGAGTACCGAGCGAACAATAGGAACAACCAACCCTGGCAATTTCGATCAATTTCAACTAAACCTTATAGCAACATATTTGTATACAGAGTTCAGTCTTCAGTAGAAATACGAGGGACACACAACTTTCTCCACATTATACGTGTTCAATAAGCAATTTTCCAAAATCAAGACGAATTGAAACATCACGTGTTGTGCAGTCCATCGAGAGGCGACAGTGGCAGTTTCAGTTTTTTTTTTGTGGCAATTCTCTCCAGTGTCCTGTGAGTGTGGGTGTGTGTGTGTGGGTGTGGGATTGTGAATAGGAGTAAGGAAAACGAAATTATCCGAGAATTGAGCTCGATAGACTCAAGAGAAGGAGCGCTTTAAGGACAATAGAGGGCAAGAGAAAGTCTTGCGATCAACATCAAGATAAATATTGATGGTCCCTTTCATATCGAAAGGATAATTCCTCATTCGCATGTCGGATGACTCAAAGGTGGCCGCTACTTTCAACGCATCTGTACCATATTATAGACGTAACGCCGTACGTGTCCAATATTTCACGGCAATATGAATTCCGACGATGAGTATTCCGATCAAGATCACGGAGATTCGCGTCGCTCCCTGCACAGCCACTCATCGTTTGTGGTTTGTGTTGATAGTGATGAGGACACATGCACGGAAATAGACTTACCGGAACGACCCAAACGGAATGTCGAGGTGGACGACTTCTCCTACACTGTGCTCTCTGTCGATCAGATCATGCAGTATCAGCGCAGTATCATCGATGAGGTGAACAATGTTTTGAATTTGTCGCCACAGGTCACACGCATCATCCTAAACCACTACAAATGGGATAAGGAGACTCTGTTTGAGAAGTATTTTGAGCGCACGCCCGAGGATTTCTTTCAACGCGCCCATGTCCTTAACCCCTTTGCCAGTCCCTCCTCCACAAGTGTGCACCAAATAAGCCCCAAGTCGTCGAAGAGCAGTCACTCTGGTGGGGAAGAGGAAGTTTGCGGCATCTGTTACTGCGCCTGCAATGAACTGAAGGGGCTCGGCTGCGGACATAGCTTTTGTGCTGAATGCTGGAAACAATATCTGGCGAATAAGACGTTCAGCGAGGGTCTGGCGCACAGCATCACCTGCCCCTCCACAAACTGTGATATACTCGTCGACGATGTCTCGTTCGAGCAACTGGCCGACAATCCCGAGGTCATTGAGCGATATCAACAGCTGATTACGAACACATTTGTGGAGTGCAATGCTCTGATGCGTTGGTGTCCGGCCCCCAATTGTTCGAACGCTATCAAGGCCACGTATGCGGAGCCCCGAGCGGTGCGCTGTAAATGCGGCCATCAGTTTTGTTTCGCTTGTGGTGAGAGCTGGCACGAGCCTGCCAGCTGCACTTGGCTGAAGAAATGGATAAAGAAGTGTCACGAGGATTCGGAAACCTCCAACTGGATTGCGCAGCACACAAAGGAGTGTCCAAAGTGCAATGTGACCATCGAGAAGGATGGTGGTTGCAATCACATGGTCTGCAAGAATCCCTCCTGCCGCTACGACTTCTGTTGGGTGTGTCTGGGCTCCTGGGAGCCGCATGGTTCCTCCTGGTACAGCTGCAATCGTTTCGACGAGGAGGAGGCCAAACAGGCACGCTTGGCCCAACAACGTTACCGCTCATCCATGGCGCGGTACTTGCACTACTATAATCGCTACAAGAATCATATGCACAGCATGGGCATAGAGCATAAGTTGTACGCGAATGTGCAACAAAAGATGGACGATATGCAGGAGGTGATGAGTTGGATTGAGGTGCAATTCCTTAAGGATGCCGTCGATGTGCTCTGCCAGTGCCGTGCTACCCTAATGTACAGCTATGTATTTGCATACTACCTGGCCAGTAATAACCAGAAAATCATCTTTGAGGATAACCAACGTGATATGGAAATGGCAACCGAGAAAATATCCGAGTGTCTCGAGCGAGAGATTACGGTGAGGAATCTATACGAGATTAAGCAAAAGGTACTAGATCTGGCGCACTATTGTCAGAAGCGACGCGCCGTCCTTCTATGCCATGTGCGCGAGGGTTACGAAAAGGACTGGTGGGAGTTCATAGATGACAGCTAAACCGCTCGCTCCCCAACGGCAGTTGTAATAACAGCCTCAACTGTTCCCAACATTTTAGAGTTCAGATCCAAACTTGAACGTTTGGTCTGCATTGCACCATGCAAACATTTCACTGAAGACTTTTTATTGGTATAATTGAATTAGAACACATACATTTCGGCACCTCTCCGAAGTGAGGCTTCGGAGCTCTCTAAATTGTACAGTCATAAAATGCAATAGAAATTACAAAATAGTTGGAGAAAACAGTTTGTGAAATCGTTTTCATTTTTGATCAAATTGCGAGGAAGGGGGTGCAGAAGTTGTTGAAGAAAACAGTTTGTGAAAAGGTTGTTTTTAGTTTTGCTAAAATAGACGCAAATTGAAAAATATTTTAAATATCAATCATAAGCTTTAGATTCGATTGGATTTAAGTACAAGCGAGACCCGAGGCTCGAAAATAATCGTCCATTTCGATTACTAACTATTCTCATACTTAAAACGTGGCCTGGCTGAGCCGTTCCATCTCTATTGGATGGCTTCGGATATTGCCACCAAATAGGAGTAATTTCTTCCAGTATGTTGAGACTAACAATCAAAAATAGTTCGGAGGGTAAATATCTTAATATTTTCCAGAGTGAAGTGTTGTAGTTGGTAAAAAAAAAAACACTGCGCGGCGGCTTTCCATTAGCACATCCGATAAATCATCGCCATTTTAATGATTTCTTTGGCCGACACTTTAAAGTGCAACACCAGCTGTAATCTGGAAACTATCTTTGTTTGCATTGTTGCTGACGGCCACCAGCACGCCCCGCTCTAATGACTTTTCCAGCTGCTGCTGGTGGTGGTAGATATATGTTTTTCGTACTGTACTGCTGTCTTGAGAGCTATTGTAATTATAACATAAATCAATCCACGTTCCATGTTATACTTTTTGGCGCAGCAACACAAAGCGATTAATGTCGTCAATGCCGGGAGAGCAGCGTAAGATATGGTATGGCAAAAGGAAAAGCATAAATAAGTCATAGCCAAGCGGGAACAACAACGACAACAACAACAAACACAACAATAACGAGCTAAGCTGAGCTGAGCCAAGCCAGGCCAGGCCAGGCTAAGCGGCGACTGCGCTTGCGCGTTTCATATGAAAAATATTTCCTTATCGCGATGCGCCAGCGGCCAACTAACTGCGACTGCGACTGCGATTGGGACTTCAGCTGCGGTCCAGGTTCGTGGTCCATGTGGCTGGACCACAACCCAAATGGCGTCAGGTGCACGAACCACGTCAGATTTACGACAAACGGCAGCCAAGTCGTGCAGTGCCGCATACTTTTTGCGGCAAGTGTGAGTGTGAATTTTCGCACCCGTGATGAAGTTTCCAATTAAATTTTATTGGATTTCAAATTGAGGCAACCGCTGTCCGTCGTCCGCTCACCAGTGGGTAGCACTGGCTGCTGCCTGATCTCCTGGCAAATATTTGCGCACTTTCGCAGCCGGGCATTGTTGCTGGCCGCAGTGTGTTGCGGGAAGTGTTGAAAGTGGGCGTAAACAGCGGCATGGAATTTCTTATGGCAGTTCAATTTGAGGTCAGCAACGTGTTGCTTGATTGACTTTTCACAACATCAACCGTTGTGGAAATGCAGTTGCAACTTTGACAGCCAAAGATGCTAAGCTAATTTATAAGCCCAGGTAGCCCCAATTTGCAACGCCCAGCATATGAGTTGAACGCTACGTGAGATTATTGGCAATTCAATTTATGGCAACCATCTACTCTTCAACGATGACATTAACTCTTCGGATTGTGAATGTACATTCTCATAACATAGTAGTATATAATACTTGGAGTCAACAGTCCACAAGCTTGACGAGTATTTGCCACGAATATAACTTTGAATCCACTAGAAGCTTTATTCTTAAAGTGAAACTTTCTATGAGAGTGGGGCATTTGAATGCTGGCAACTTTTTCTGTAACGAAACCGATAGCATGGTAACAGCAAGTAGTCCAGTTGGCGAAATTGACATTAAAAATGTAAACAAAAATCAGCTGTGCTTAAACTTAACGGTACAGTCTAAAATTGTAAAAAACCTGGTGTTCTATTGGGAGAATTTCACACCACATGGTTAAAAGATCTTAATGATAAAATAAGCACGCAATCGTCAGCAGCTGATTAGCCTTCTGCTTATTTATGATTACCTCGTAGGTTATGATATTTAAATGTGGCTGTTTCTTGTGGTTTTCGGTGATTCCAGATATATTTATACTCTGTACATGAAATGTACAAGAGTATATTAGGTTTGCGGGAGCTGAAAAATGTAACAGGCAGAAGGAGGCGTGGCAGACCCCACAAAGTATATATATTCTTGATCAGCATGACGAGACGAGTCGATCTAGCCCTGTCTGTCTGTCTGTCCGTCTGTCCGTCTGTCCGTCCGTATGAACACCTGGATCTCAGAGACTATAAGAGATAGAGACACCAAATTTTGCACAAAGATGCGTTATGTGTGTATTCTATACGAGTTTGTTTTATTTTTTTGATTTTCCCCCCCACTTCCCCCCTATGGAGGTTTTCCCGATTTTCCATTCGTATAATCGCCTATATCTCGGAGACTATAAGACCTAGGAACACCAAATTTTAGTCCCAGATGCCTTATGTGAATACGCAGAAAATGTATATTTTGGAATTCCCCTCCCTCCCCCCTCTACCCCGCAAATCGTAACTCCCGTAATTCTTGGAATTTCGAACTAAAATTTTGGAAATACCCCCAGTTGGTTATTATGTGTCCGTATGCCAAATTTCATTATGATAGACCGATTTAACAAGAAGTTATAGCCATAAATATATTTGCTGATGCAGCGCTGCTGCAGCGCTGCTCAAGCGCTGCCCGCGGCTGTTGTTGATGTTGCTGTTTGGTTGACTGCGAAAATGCTTACACAGACACGAATAGATGCGCATAGGCATACATACACTCACACAGACGCAATTGCTATGTAAATGTGCAATTATACACCCTTTACGTGAGTTCGAATACCGAGAGAGGTAAAATCGATCAAATTTTTTTTTTTATTTTCTTAATTTTTTATTTTCTATAATTATTGTACACATATGTACAGAGTATTTCAAAGTCGGGACACCCGACTTTAGCTTTTTTACTTGTTTTGAATTGATATAGAACTGCATTGTCTGAGGCGCTTGAAAGCTAGATCGACAGCCATCGGTTTCAATCCATTCTTTTAGCAACTTTTATGGCTATTTATAGCGTTGTTTCTAGCCATTTTTGTAGCTGTTTTTATACTCTGTACATGAAATGTACAAGAGTATATTAGGTTTGCGGGAGCTGAAAAATGTAACAGGCAGAAGGAGGCGTGGCAGACCCCACAAAGTATATATATTCTTGATCAGCATGACGAGACGAGTCGATCTAGCCCTGTCTGTCTGTCTGTCCGTCTGTCCGTCTGTCCGTCTGTCCGTCCGTATGAACACCTGGATCTCAGAGACTATAAGAGATAGAGACACCAAATTTTGCACGAAGATGCGTTATGTGTGTATTCTATACGAGTTTGTTTTATTTTTTTGATTTTCCCCCCCACTTCCCCCCTATGGGGGTTTTCCCGATTTTCCATTCGTATAATCGCCTATATCTCGGAGACTATAAGACCTAGGAACACCAAATTTTAGTCCCAGATGCCTTATGTGAATACGCAGAAAATGTATATTTTGGAATTCCCCTCCCTCCCCCCTCTACCCCGCAAATCGTAACTCCCGTAATTCTTGGAATTTCGAACTAAAATTTTGGAAATACCCCCAGTTAGTTATTATGTGTCCGTATGCCAAATTTCATTATGATAGACCGATTTAACAAGAAGTTATAGCCATAAATATATTTGCTGATGCAGCGCTGCTGCAGCGCTGCTCAAGCGCTGCCCGCGGCTGTTGTTGATGTTGCTGTTTGGTTGACTGCGAAAATGCTTACACAGACACGAATTGATGCGCATAGGCATACATACACTCACACAGACGCAATTGCTATGTAAATGTGCAATTATACACCCTTTACGTGAGTTCGAATACCGAGAGAGGTAAAATCGATCAAATTTTATTTTTTTTTTTTCTTAATTTTTTTTATTTTCTATAATTATTGTAAACATATGTACAGAGTATTTCAAAGTCGGGACACCCGACTTTAGCTTTTTTACTTGTTCTATCTATTTTTGTTTCTATTTATATGTTTGTGGCGGATTCTTAGCAGATTTTCTACGTGTTCTCTAGCTACTTATAATTGTTCTTATAGCCATTTTCTAACGTGCCTATCAGCTATTCATAGCTGCTTTTAAGCCATTTTCTAGCAGTTTCTTATTTAGATAACCGAAGGCGACAACCGTTTTATAACAATTGTTTTTAAAAGTTATAAGAAGTTGCAGGAAAATCCTTCCTTATTTGTAGATAAGATAGATAATACGTTGGGAATCGACCCTGAATGTAATACCTACAGCTTATCGCCTCTGCCCAATGGTAGCCTTTGGAGTTGGGAGGTTGCCTTTGGGGAAAGTAGACAGGCGAGTTTCTAAATCTTTTGAGTTCTAACTGAAGTTCTGAAGAGGCATCTTGCTGTCCCATATGGACTTGCAAGAAACAGCCTACCGTTTGAAAGCAAGACTCGCTTAGGGAAAAAATAAACTATAGATGAAATATAAAGATTATACCCTGAACTAGATCGGAGAATCGAGTGAGACACAGATTGATATTTTTGTCTTTGCTTCCGCTATACAGAGCTCTGCGCGTCGTTAACTTTCTCTGTGTGGCCAGGCCAGCTGTCAACTTTAAGCCTATATTTGTTGAAAGCATCAGCCATCGGCAAGTACCTTGCACTCCATTCAACAAGTCAACAAAAAGCCGAGCAAAGCCATCGTTGACAAGAGCCAAGAGGGCCCAACGACCTGGTCAAGCTGTTGTAAGTGCGGGCGTATTAATTTTATTTATTGGCCGTCTCGTGGCTTAACGCCCAGTCTCTCTACTGAATGGGCCCCACACTCGAGCAGCTGCTTGCCAACTTATTGCATTTTTTTTTCTACCTACAGTTTGCTTTTCCGCTTATGGAAAGCAGACGCAGGCAGCATCGCAGCGGATTTCTGTCCGCTATTTTTATGACGACATATTTTTGTTGCCGCAGCCGCCGACAACGATAAGCACTTGATGTTGTTAAATTTGCTTTGCAACTTGGTCGCGTACTTTCAATTATGCGTCGGTGGCGTCTTCGATGACGATGTTGTCGC